GTATTGGTTCGATCGTGTTCTTTACTAAATGTTATATAATGTAGATCTTTTCCTTTTTTGTAATTTTTCTTATTTCTAAATAAAGTTGACTTCGTTAAAAAAAAAAAATAAAAATAAATAAATCTTCAAATTCCAATATTATCAATAAAAATAATTGAAAGTTTCCATTTATATAATATTAATTAAATTATCTTTTGGCCGCTAATTTTGGCCTGCCAAAAAAATGTCTTTTAACCTTTAATTATTAATTTATAGGAGCTCAATAATTAATGGCAAAATAAGTTTCATCAAAAATATATATTATGGCAATTTTTTACACTTCCTAAATGATATGTATTTTTCCATTTTTTTTCGTTTACTAAATACTGTATTTTTCCGTTATTAAACACCTTTTTTTGCACTTTAGTATGGCGGCAAATGACCTCATTAAATCGCCATAATGTAGGCCAGGTGATGCTTAATAACAAATTGACTAGGAGTGGTCTTATTCAAATTTATTTTAAATAAAATTGATCTACAAAATTATTACCGTAAATTTAATATTTCCGAAAAATTCATTACCTAATTATCCGATATTAAATTTATTATCTGATTTTGATTAGTAATTGGAAAACATAATTGTTAATGGATTATCTGCATACGGCACAATATTTCTTTGTTATAGTATAATACATTTTGGGATTGTTACAAAATTTTGAGTTGCTCAATCCGCATTTTTGACGTAGAATTATTGCACGAAATGATCACTTGATTTGCCTAAAATAAATTATCTTTCTCGAAAGAAATATACAGAAATAATAATAAGGCGACACAAAGTGGTAAAAATGGTTTTCATAATATAAAAATTACATCAATAACCCGGAAACCCGGCTTTTAATTTTTTTTTCAAAAATTTTATATGTGAAATTTTTTTTCAATTTTTAAAAAATTCTCACCCGGCATAGTAATAATATAAAAAATTTTTTTTTTGACTTAACAAAAACTGACCCGGCCGGGATATGAAAACCATTTTTATCACTTTGTATCGCCTAATAGTTATCAACTTTCAAATTGCTTACCATAATATTTATAATGATGCATCAATAATATTTATTTCTAATTATCATATTGCATTACGTAATCACATGACTGAAATTGAAATTATGACGGAAATAAGTTTAAAAATTTTTTTTTTTATTTTGGAGTTTCGTTGTTTGACTTTAATCAATGAAGATTATTTAGTATATATCTCGAAATAGTTTTTTTTAATATTATTTATATACGTATAGATGTACGACATTAAAAGATTTATCTTTATCAATATTAAAAAAAGGGAGTGCCGTCCAAAATCCTGAAACTCAAAATCCCTAAATCCAAAATCCTGACAGGTTCAAAATTCTGATAGGTACAAAATCCTAATAGGTCAAAGTTTCAGAATTTTTTCTGGTTTTTATTAGGGTTATGTTAGGGTTAGTTGGTTAGGATTAAATAAAATATATTTTTGGAATTCTGACCTGTCGGGATTTTGAACCTATTTGGATTTTAGATTTTGGGATTTGAGTTTCACCATACAAAAAAAAGATCCTTATTGTCAATGGTCTAAATGTTATCTATGATTATCCCGCATTGATAATGATACTTCAGTCGCCTTTATATAAACTATAAATTATCCTTTGTTTATTTATTTATTTATTTTATTTCCCTAAATATTTGTTAGTTATCATTGCCACATTTGCCTTTTTAGGATAAACTTAATTATATTCTTACCTATCAAATATTCGAAAACATCAGCCAAATGATGATCCCATCTGTATCTGTATTTCAGCCAATCGTGGATGGTATCTAGCTACACGTGTCAGATAATCTATTAATTTGAATATAAAGCTTTTAAATTGCCCTTTCAAAAATTTTCCTTTTATGTATTACACCTTATCTTATCTGATTTTGATATCTAAAGATTAGATTTGTTTTATTTGCTTTGACGTTTTAAATTACATGATTGCAATGACAGATAGGGGAGAGAGAGTACAGTAATTAATGGTACATGAACTCTTATGTAACATATGGCAAAAAAAAATTGATGTCGGTATAACCTGAACAAATATTTTTTTACAATTTTGATAAAATTAGTTAATAGACTTTCCTAAAACCTACACAAAGCATATACTGTATAATCTAGTACCTATTGCTTCTGTGCGAATTTATTTCCAAATTAGATATACTACAGTACATATTATAACATTCTCTTAGAACACTATTACATATAGCAACAAGAGCACTTAAAGATACAAAAAAAAAACCCAATGTTTTTAACGAATTTAATGGTTAAATTTTATTCTTAGATTTAGTACATTAATTAACACAATATGTTACTTCTTTATGTTTCATTTTTACCGTACGTTTATTCTAGGCATAACTCATAAAAATATTGACACATTTTACACTTTGATGCGTAGAAAATAAAATCCCTTCAAAAATTATTTTATCTGTATTTATATATATTAAATTTTTTCCATAATATTATATATATATTACCGGTAATTCCAAAAATTGTTATTTATAAAAGAAAATACTTCGGTTGTTGATTAAAATAAAACAAAATAAAAAAATAATATTTTATTCAATATATTTTGATGAATGCACTAAAAGCGGGTCGACAAAAAATTTTTTTTTTTTTAATAAAAAATACTAAGTCATGTGAATATTTCTCGGAGTTGTTTTCCTATATATACCCAAAATTCCGACTTATGATTTAATTTTTATTGTAAAAACAGTTTGAATTTCGATTTAAACAATTTTTTTTAATTTATTATATAACTTCAAAAGCTTGTTATTTTCCTTTTTAATTTTTATCTGATTTATTTCTAAAAGATTTTCGCTATCACCGTTAGCTGCATACTGAACCGACCGTTGGCATTCCTATTCATTATAATTGATGTCATAAAGTATTAACTATAATTTTTTGGATAATATTCTTTAAATTTACGCAATTTTTTTACAATAGCGCCGATGTGATTTTTCAGAGAAACGAAAAATCACGTGATCAACTCGTAAATTCGATAATTTCAAAAATGAGAATACTATGCATAAAAACACAAATCATATATAAAACCGACTGTTAACCAGTCTTGGACTGAAACCGAACCGATAACCGAACCGGTAAAAGCCGGGGTTATGATCGGTTATAACCGAACTTTTGGCATCCCTAATAATGAACATTGTTAATTCATTATTACAAATATTATGGCGATCAACTGATCATAAATCTAAGATCCTTGTATTCGAAAAATTTGAGGGATAAATATCTGTTATAGTAATGTTCTTAGTTCAGAAATCTCAATCCTTGGCAAATTGTTAGGGAAAAATTAAAATTAAGGGTACATTATTATTGCCAAGAATATACTGTATGTAAGTAACTTTCTAATCATATGATACTTTCAGCTTAATAAATATTATATAATTAAAGCTGCAGTTAGTATGAAAGAAGCAGATTGAAGCAATTAAAAATTCAGTAAAGAAATAAATGGCAATTATATTAAGCAACTTAAAGGTAATTTAAAAAGTATGCCACGATTTGCCATATACGGGGGTGCAATTTATATCACACAGAGATTGCTTAATTTAATAACGATCAACGCTCGTTACGCTGTTAAAAAAGAATAATAATAATAATTTTATAAAGAAATAAATTATCCGCAATAATCAATAAAGATAATATATTTGCTCTCGGGTATTAAATACTTAAATATGTTGTGACTTGTACAGCAAAATCAATTATACTCTAATATTGTAAAAAAAAAAGAAAATTTCTTTCATCTATGCATGTATCACACATTTATGTAACAATATTCTTTTTGTTGTTCAACAAGAAAAAATAATTTTATTTTTTTTATTATCGCTCTATTCTATAGTTTTGAATATTTTGGTACGTCCGAAATCTTTTAACATCTAATAGATGTCTTAATTGTTTGTTTTTATGTAAGAATTTCATTACTTTACTTTATTTAAAAGGAAGACAATATCGTACGTCCGTACAACATCCATAAAATATAATATTTTGGGAGTTGAAATGTCATTGGTGAAAAATGCTGATCATTCGAAAACAAATTTCAAATATTTCTATTTAGCCTAATTTGGTTTCATTTGTTTTTTTTCAAAGCTGGGACACCAAACTTTAATCTGGATCTGAGTTAGCACCGAGTTAGAGATGATCATTTTTTTTTTTTTATTTAAACCCACAAAAAATTGCCCATCGGTTATTATTTTTTAACACTTCGTTATAAAAATTACATTAATATGTATCCTTCGCAAGACAATATTAATAACGATGCTCACGAATCCTATTTTACTGGGTTCTTAAATGAAACAACTGCAAAAACTATTAGTACTCAGGCAGAAAATATTAACTGCAACGATCCCACTTGTAACTGTAGTAATGACACTTCCGTGATGAATTCCCCGGCTGCTCATGCGACTATTTCTCTTGATCATAATCAACCTAGGACATCTCACAGCATTTCAAACAATAACGATATTATTTCTCCTGGCAATACTAATTATCAACAACCAATTTACAACAACGTTTCAAACAATAATATTAATATCTCTCCTAACAACAAATATCAGCAATCCATGTTTAATAATACTTCATCTCCGCCGCAATTCCACCCGCAATATATTGATCAAAATCCACTTCAAACTAATGTCTTTCCTTCACTTAATTCACTTGGTATTGTTATAAATTCTCCTCAAACGTACGTTGTTATTATGCCAGTGCCGGTAACTAGTGATCCAAATAGTAGTCAACAAGATAGTTATCCGAATCATTCTATCCGTCACTAATAATTTGCAACTCAATTAAATAATAGAAATTATTGTTTTTTATTTTACTTTTACTTTTATATTGTTTTTATTTCTTTATTCATTTTATAGTAGAAAAATAACAGAGAGAGAGTATACTGTATCTACTAACCAGAACATTTAAATAAATATTTTTAACAAGAAACTTTCAAGACAATGTGTTAATGGAATTTATACTTTGAATTACGTCTAAGGGTATGCGCACATCATCAAACCTGTAGTGTAAACCAAAATTAGGTAGTAAAGTAACTTCCAGCATTAAAATTAAAGACTCAAATTGATTGTGCGACATTTGTGTCATTTCAATCATCTGTTCGACACTAGGTTCAATAACGAGATAAGTCTTTCAAACTAATACTCAAAGAGTGCGAGAATTTCGCCTTCCGTAAATGATTTAATATGGTTTAACGGTTTAACATAAATATTTAAATAAAATTTTTCTAACATCGTAATTTAGCGAATTTTTAAAGTTCTGCAGTCTGCACAAATGATTGACTTAGTGTCGTGTAACGTGACTTTCGGATCTTACAAGCCAATGCAAATAACGGACATTTCGACATTTCTGCTATCCCTTAATTTTTCATAGAAAGGGTCATATTGCTTTTGCTAATGGTTAGTTTTAATTTCGATTATTCATTCTGTGATGAGGGTTACTCTCCAAAAAAGTTTTGATTAAAGGAATTTCGGCTACAACAAAAAAGGAATTTAGTAAAGAAAATAAATTTTATTCTTACCGATTTTAATGATATCAACATAAATAAAAAATATATATATACAAAGAAAGTAAAGTGGAAATTATTGCCGAAAAAACGGAGTTTTTTTTTATATTTATAGTGATTTTTTATAGTACTTCAACTTCAATAAAAGCGATTGTTTTTGTATGAGATATAAAATGATTAATACAATGAAATACTAGATATTGTATTGAATATATATGTATTTATACATATATAAAAAAAAATTTTTGAGGAAGTGGATGTTTCTAAGTCCGTCGGACTTTTTATTATTCTTTAAAGTCAATATTCAAACAATATTTATTAAAATGATTTACATATATGAATAATTTCATTTATGGAAGAAATACAATGGACAATAAGTTTTATTAAGGTTAAAAAAAAATTTGTCTTTAATAGATCAAGACTTTTGCCATCACATTAATTAAGGAATTTTTACGTGTTCCGTATGTAATCTTTGTAATTTTATATATTCGTTAAATTTTTAATTTCCTTCTTAAGTAATATTTACGCTGTGAAAACTCCGATGAATGAACAAATTTCTAGTAAAAAAACTCTGACATATGATCAAATCTCTAAAAATCTTTTATAGGATTTAAAGTGTAACTTTGCAGTTTCAACGTTTGAGAAACAAAGAAATATGTAAGTTTACGTTACATTACACGAACTGTTCTATCTATAATTTTTTTCAACAACCAGCCGATCCTGCGATCTATAAATTTTTTTTTCTTAAAATTTCGTTCTTTTATGGATTCGGCGCAAGTAGTTCCCATTCAGGAAATAATCATCATAAATTTTGGCTCAATATATCAATTTTTCCATGAACTCCTTTGCATGATTTCCAAATGTATTAATGCGTTCATGTGAAAAAAAAAAAAAATTTACACCATACTGAATTTGAAAATATAATAAACATTGTCATCTATCAAACTAAGTTTTTCTTTTTTAAGAGGACTAGAGATACCGTGTATAACATTTCTATTGAACAAACTTGAATAAATAAATATATACATTTAAAGGTTCTTTGTAATTTAAATCAGAATGAGCTCAATCTAGACTAGTAAAAGATTGATGGAATACTCCTTATTAAAATTTTTTTTTTCTTTGTTTAAAAAAACAAGTGTGTCATACAGAAGAAAACAATTTCATTAGTGTTATTTGTTTATAAAATTATTACGGTGCCATTACTGAATGAGATTTAGGCTAAATCGAATAATATTATGATCATTATCTTTTTTTTATAATTTAACCCTGTTTTTTTTTTTGAAAGAAAAAAGGAAATTTTTTATTTCAAAATCTTCCGTAACTTTTTTTTTTTATAATATGTGATGACTATATTAAATAACCATTGTTTACATTATTCAAAAAAAAATTTTTAAAGTTTGTAAAGTTGAAATTTTTTTTTTTCGCGTTTAATGACTTGTTTCTTTTAGAAATATAATGAAGAAAATTTTGAAATTTCAGTGTGACCGTGTAACATATTTGTCGGATTATCATAAGGCCGAAACTTGCAGACATATTTTATTATATAATTATATAAATGATAACAATGTTTATATATATACCGTATGTATTTATATATATATTGCAGTCTTACTGATATAGTATTTTGGCTTTGATTTATTTAAACTTGTTTCATCAACTTATGAGTATCGGTAATAATTTATCATAAAATTTAAAATAAATATTTTTTTTTTTCGATGATAACAGTTAGTAACGAGAAGAAAATGGTTAAGTATATTATAAAATAATTACAATCGGAAATTATGATCTTATGTCTGTTGAAGATAAATGATGTTAATAAAACCAAATTTTTTACATTGTGTAACATACCGTAACACACTATTGAGCGGTCATCTAATTAAATAAAACTATATGTATATTAAACTGTAATTAACTAACTATAACCTTATAATAAATTTCTACTTCTAATACTTCTAATAACTTTAAACCCTTCCTACTATTTATGTTGCTTCCTACTATTTATGTTCCAAAAACATTCTAAATTGTTATCTCTTTCGTGTAACAGATCGTTTTTCAAAAAAAAAAAAATCTATTTCACGCCTCGAATAACAAAATAATACCTTTGGATATTGTGTTTTTCAAAATTTAAAATTTTATTCCATATCAAAATTATACAATTAATGTATATATTAATTAATAAATACATTCTATATAATTACATTCTACGTACATATTTTAAAAACGATGGACATTCATCGTACATGATTTTGTATATCTAAAAATAAAAATTATTGTTTAATTTAATACTAACAAATAATAAACAAGCTAGACGTTATATGGTTAAAAATGCCATATAATAATTTTATGTATAATGCAATTTTATAGGGGCGATGAATGGAATTATTTTTGATATAATAGGTTTTTTTGAGTCAACACCTAGGAGCAATGTGTTATTCTCTTATATGCAGTATCTCATAATCCCTCAAATATTCTAATATATGTATATACTATGTATCTAGGGCTTAGTTCATTACAGGAAAAATATCAAGAACCAATGTGTCTTGATTTCATTTAGTATTTGTCGTGTTTTTCCTTGTCTTCGCTGGTCATCCATCATTACGTAGTGGTGCAGCCATTAATTTTATATAAATAGGAAACTAATTTAAAATAATTCAATAAAATTAACAGTGCTGTTAATAGTTATTCGGCACTTCGTGCGGAATAAGTGATTTATCCGGTATCACGTGATTTGATCTTGTGATTTTAATGCCTGATACACGATTTTTTGCCTGATAAATAAATTTGACAATTTTTAATTGACTACGTGATACCGGATAATAATAATTATTATTATATTAATAATATATCTGATATACTTATTCGCGAAGTCGATTAAAAGCCGCTCGTCGATCGCAAAGAGGAACGACATCTACACTACGAACAAATGTTGAAAGAACACCAAAAAACCGTAAAACGTATCCTACCTGTATCCAACAACAGAAAGAGGCAGACGCAGTCCGAAAAGCCAGATACACAGAATACCGCGCGAAACGCGAAGCTAAGGAGAAGCGGAACGAGCTAAACAAATGGAAAAACTAGAACTTGCTATCGCCAATGAACAAGCACGACAAGAAGCACGAAAAGCTGCTGGTAAAGCGAAACCATTACCCGAGTTAGATGAGGAAACGTGTCTATTAATAGAAAATGGCAATGATGTTACAATGACTGACCTAACTATTAATTCAACGCCCTACATCACCAACATCCATCGCACAATCAGCGGTTTCTACTTCTACATCAATCAAAGATCATCTTCAATCAACACGCGCGACATCATCAACATCACACAAAACAATATCAACACCTTCCACTTTAACATCATCCAATAATATTACACCAGTACAAACTGATTTCACGAATCTTCTTGCTCCCACTAACATCAATTCCTTCACACACGTTAGCGATGTTTACGCCGCTATGCAATCCAGATACGAATTCTGTCTTAATATAAGAGACGCTAAATTCCTCGCACGTCAAGACGTTTTTCTGAAACGGTCTCCACCTACGAGTGAAGATGAAACATCCGACGACAATAAACGCCCGAAATCAAAGATCATCAGCGATACCGACACTTCTTCCTCAGGGTCTAAGAGAACAAGGAGTGCTTACAGTCTCCCATTTCCCCTCCATTATTAGTCCAAATTGATTAGACCACCTTTTATTAGGACAATACCATAGTTTTTTATTCAAAAGTATCATTCCGTCTATGACAGTATTCACAGACGGAATTTTTTGTTAAAAATGAAAGATCAATAGGGAGGAATAGTAATTATATTGTAATTTACCATGATTTTTGCTTCTCTTTGTTAATAATTGGTCATGCCTAAATAGTTCGAGGACGGAGCGATCTCATGCGTGGGATTAGGTGAAATGTTTAGCTTTATTACTTTAATTTAGAGTGATTACTACATGGTGTTGTAGCTTCGATTCTTTTGCCACGTTAAAAATAAAAATAAATATACTTATTCGCGATTATAAAAAAAACTCTTACCGCTTTCTGTCTTTTTTATTAAAAATCCGCAGCAAAACTTAAAAAAATTTTTTTCACAACCGAGGACTGACAGAAAGTACTCCTCCAACAACCTCGACCACCATGAAGGATGTGAGTACAAAAACGTGTAGTCTCATAAGGGCCTTCTCTCACCGAAGAGTTGGCTTCACCTTTTATCATCCTATACCACCCACGTTTGACCCTTGCATTGAAAAACAACTATTATTATACCACAAACAACAACAACAACTCAACTCGAAAAGAAAAATCTGTGAATCGCCAATTCCCTAAAAACATAGAAGTTTGGACAACTTCTGTCTTCATAAACACCTTCGATAGAACGACTTTCCGTTCGCTCGAACAAGCTTGGCTGCGCGCCTCGACATGACAACATTCCATTTACAGAAATCTACCACGATTACATTGAACCAATTACATCCCATGCTAACGTTACATAAATTTCCAATTTAGGAAAAAATTTATACGACGAAACGAACTTTACTCAAAACAACCACGTGATGAACAACATAGATGATCTACAAACTTTACGTCATCGGTTAGGCTTCCATGTGATTTTATATTAGTTTTACTTTTTAACCATATAGATGATATAAATTTTTTCTGCGTCCGGGTTTCATTTATAGAGGGTAAATATAAAATTATTTTTATTTCTTTTTTAGCCCATATTTTGGTTAGGGCGGTTGCATCCGCCATTTTCTTTTTTTTTGGTTCGATCAAAGTGGCGCTGCCACTATCGCGGTCTGGCTTACGGTTTTTTTTCGATTACTTTTCGATTCTAACATATATGTAGTTTCTATGTATTTGTACTGTAGCTTAGTTTACTTTTGGAAATAAAAATAAAATCAAAATTAAAATGATATACTTATACTCAAAACTAATTAATGAGAAGAAATTGTGAGGGTGCGATGACAGCTTTTGAAGGTTTACAAATTCGATTAACAGTCACAATTCACAAATATGTTGAGAAAAGAGAGCCTCAGCATGTTTGTTTTCCCAAGGGATTCGGGCAATATAAGGCTGAATTTACCGAACTCATTAATGAGTGTTTAGATATTGACATATTGTTCACAATTTGCTAGGACTGTTATGTAAATTTGATGCTTAGCAATTATTTGTGAATTCTACCGTTTCATTATTTATTTAAGTTTGCCTTAAATATTAAATTGATTAATTTTGAAAAGACTCGCTAATAGAACACTTAATATTCATATTACAAAAACATCACTAACCTCAGCGGAAAATTAATTAAAACAAACGAAAATATTTTGAATTAACTGAAAAAATAGTCTTTTTTTTATAGTTTATTGATATTACCAATTTTTTTTAGTAATATTAGTATAGATGTAGAATAGATGAATTTGATGAAGATGAGAGGGCGACAGATTTTTACATGAAATTAACTTTGGGAAATTGGAAAGTTTATTATAATAATAAATAAATTTTATTAAACTCGCGTGCAGCAGCTAAACTTCAATTCTTAGGTCATGTCAAGAAAAAGTTGATAAAATAGTAAATTTAGGAATATTGGAGAATTACGAGGAGTCTTAGGTTTATTCTCTTATTATCGACGCTTTATTAAGGATTTGCCCAAGTCGCTGATCCAGCGTTAAATCTAAAATTTGAAAAATTCCCTTAAATTATCATCGTTGATTATTAATTAACTAAAATTTGTAAAACCATGAGAAATGAGTAATTTCATTATTTTTGCGGAAAAGGATTTCTCATATGCATCCTATTTTTTAAATGGTCTCTGACCAACAATTTTTTTTGTTCAAAGTCTTTTTTATCTAAAATCATTTTTTTTTTTTGAAAATCTTAGATTCCTATAGTGGATACCAATAAGATTTGTTTAGGTAACATACAGAGATTATTTGACTATAAAAAGAATGGAAATGAAGTTTTGGAAGCGGAAGCTCGACTACACTTATAAAAATTTTCTTTGCATGTAAATTCATTTTTATATACGATTTTGATAAATTTTTTTATTTATTTTGATACTTTTTTTAGTTAACCCTACGAACTTTTTTTATTCTACTTCTTTTATTTATTTTCATTGAGTTTTCTTAAAAAATGACAATCACTTTTACACTTTAAAATAGTTAATAAATTACTTTAAATATATTTTATACGTCTTTATTTTGAACGAACGAGTTCATTATCAGGCATTCGTACTATTTTTTGCCACGATATTAGATCGCTAAAATGTTTATTTTATAATAGCATCTATATTTTTTTATTAAAACCAATATTTCATAGAGATATCCGTCTGGAATTAGTAATATTGTAGGAATTAATGCTAATTTCAAAATCTGCAGTAACTCTTGCCAAATTTATAATTCCGGGCGGAATTAACAATATTTCCTAATATTGAAACTTGTGTACACCACGTGATACCGGATAAAAGTTTAGCTAGTTTAGCTACCGGGCAATGTTTGCTAGCTTTTTAATCTTGATTTATGATTCTAATAATGTCAAATAATAAAATAATACTCTTATGTAATATTTCTACACATAAATGACCTTGGCCTAAAGCAAGTATCAAGTGCGTTTTTTATTTACGGGACATTAGAAAGTAGATAATAACTCTGTGATTTTCGCAGTCATATGCAATGTGGTCGTAATTTGTAACCGATCAGCAGTAACTCTCTCGCCTTTTCCAGGTATAATACATACATTACATAAAATTCCATATTAGGAAGTATTTTTATTTCCGGTCGGAATTATAAATTTGGCCAGAATTACGTTACGATCACGTGTATATGACTGCGTATGAAAAAGAGTCGCAAACTAGCTGTAAAATCCCACACAATTAAACAATAAAATGTAAAATATATTTATTTGATAATTATTAATATGTAATTGTAATTTAAAACCGCACATTATTTATATATATTTGTGTGGGTTCATATCTGCGGATTTTTGGAGGTGCGACATATATTTAGCCAGTGATCTACATATATTTAAACCAAAAAAGAAAAGGCCTAGACCGGTCTATGTCAGGTGCGTCGATTGTTTCGCATTCCAAAAATCGTAATTTATATATAATATAGATTTAATTATACAGTATATATCAATTAAGACCCAAAATATATATTAAAAGCAGAGGCAACAAAAAAAAGTTTATTATTAGCTGTATGCATTTTTCAGGGCCGGAATTATGATAATTTCGGTCAGTATCCAAAAAAGGTAATAACTTTCCGCAAGGCATTATCTATAAAAGGAAAATTTTCATGGCTAATCTTATTTCAGATTCTAGTCAATTTGTTTGTTATTATTAAAGTTGTTACATTACATTATTTTATTTGTTTTTATCTTATCGGTTATTTAATATGATATATATGAAATGTTTTGTTCACCTAGCGTAGGATTTCAATTCGAAGATCAGACAAAAGAATTATTTATTTACGGATAAATGTGTATCCCGCCCCTCTGTATAATGCTTAAGTCTAACAAAATTTTAAAAAAGTACAGTATGCGTATTATTGCCTGCTTTGCAAGTTTACTTAAAGCATCAAAGATGGTTTTGAATGTCATTCTTGATTTATTTGACAAAATTTTTTTTTCAGTTTTTTCGTTTAATCACGAGACGTATTTAATTCTGGCCAGAATTAAATGATCGGCATATAAAAATTTTCTTTTTTGGGATAAAAAGCGAGATTTAAGCATCACACATGGGGGCTGGATATAGATTTACCCTTTATTTACTATTATTTATTAAAATTCCAATTTCGGATTTGTTTTCACATCACGTTTTGAATCGGCTATTATTCCGATAATTCTAAAATAGCATAACGGAATTACCATTTTTATTTATCATTATAGAATTACACAGCATGGAAATTTGAAGGACTTATCCGTTTACTCCGAATTTTATCAGGAAATACTATTCTAACATAATAAGCAAACCGAACTTTATGATCTCTTGAACTCTTTATTCCACGAAGTTTTTATTAGGAATAACTTGGGACGTTACTTGATTTTATGACTTTAGAGACTGAAACACATAATAAAATTTAGGTCTTTGTAAGTTAAAAGATTTGAGATTAGCTTGGAGTCACTAAAACTGATCTCTTTTGAACTTTTGTGAAACCTCGGTGTGTCGCGCGATGTTAATTTCTTACTACCAACCAAAATCATTGCTAATCGACCTATAAAATCGAACTTCTGTTATGCTTTCTAAAAAGAGTTAATTATATATATATTTTTTTACTGCTTTTACTGTTTCTCAAGTTCAAAGAATAAGAAACCAAAAAAATGATAGATGTATGAAAGAGAATATCATTTCCATTAAAATGGACAGTTTTTTACGTTCACTTCTTTTTACTTATTTCGCACCCGAATAAATTCTTTGTTTTACTAAAAGGGGAATTTTTCTTTTAAGTAAATCACCGGTTTCACTATTTTTATTTGCTTGGTTAAAGTATAAGCTATTGGGTAATTTATTTAACGCGTTACCGGCCAGTCGCGTATTATTTGTAGGAGTATTGTGTACGCTATGATGTAGCTGCCTTAATCACTTTAGTGGAAAATATATATATAATCCCCTACGTTTAACTCATACAAATGAAAAAATCTTTTCCATCCATCTTGTATTCATATAAAATTTTTAAATTTTACGATGAATCATTTAAATATTTCTCAAGATTCTTCAAATCAAACATTTTAC